GTCGCAACCAACAATTATGGGCTTTTTCTCGTCCCCTGAGACACGAAATCACCGTCACGTCAGCCACATTCCGTGCACGGTATGCGTGGCGAGCTTCCCAGCTTGTGTGTCATCACGACAACCATAGACCCACACGCTGCATCGAATGCCGTCTCTTGTCACCCTACTCTGTTGTGGCCCAGCTATGGTGCTGATGGCTAGAGGACGCTTACAAGCACCAGGCGGCATTCTGATGCATACATGTCCGGTACATCCCACCTGGACTGTAACTAACACAAAATGACGGGACAAACGAAGGCTACTGCTGTAGCGCTGATGTGGTAGAGACGTTGAATACTTTGCAGCAAGGTGTATCGATGTCGTATCTTTTTGAAGTGCCAACAGAAAGAGGATTGATATCGATGTGACGTACAGCCGCGCTGGTTATAAACGGGGAGCTAGCCAATGACCCGATTGAAGTAAAGGATATGACACTTTATGAGATAGACTGATCGTCACCGCCTATGGTACGGATATAGCAGGCGAGCCTATCAAAGTATGTAGTATAAAACGGAGGCGTAACCCCTACTACGATGAAAAGATACGAGCAAGTTGAGCCACTCTCTCGAGCAAGGAGATACTAGAACTTGTGACATGTGATACGTACGGCACATGGCCACTGTCCCCAGGCAGGATTGAACTACCGGCCTTCCACTTACTGATCGGGTGCTCTACCACGGAGCTATGGCTAGCTCGAGTAAGGAGGTGCTAGAACTTGTGCCTTATAATGGATGCGCACACGGTCACTGCCCCCAGGCAGGATTAAACTACCGACCTTCCGCTTACTAAGCGGGTGCTCTACCACTGAGCTATAGGGGCTCCAAAAACGTGTCGCAGCCAACAATTGTTTCAGACCTTTTTCTCGTCCCCTGAGACACGAAATCACCGTCACGTCAGCCACATTCCGTGCACGGTATGCGTGGCGAGCTTCCCAGCTTGTGTGTCATCACGATAACCATTGTCACACGCGCTGCATCGAATGCCGTCTCTTGTCACCCTACTCTGTTGTGGCCCAGCTATGGTGCTGATGGCTAGAGGACGCTTACAAGCACCAGGCGGCATTCTGATGCATACATGTCCGGTACATCCCACCTGGACTGTAACTAACACAAAATGACGGGACAAACGAAGGCTACTGCTGTACCGCGGATGTGGTAGAGACGTTGAATACTTTGCAGCAAGGTGTATCGATGTCGTATGTATTTGCCAACAAAACGGTGATTGGTATCATTGTGACGTGCAGCCGCGCTGGTTATAAACGGGGTGCTAGCCAATGACTCGATTGAAGTGAAGGATATGACACTTTATGAGATAGACTGATCGTCACCGCCTATGGTTCGGATATAGCAGACGAGCCTATCAAAGTATGTAGTATAAAACGGAGGCGTAACCCCTACTACAATGAAAAGATACGAGCAAGTTGAGCCACTCTCTCGAGCAAGGAGATACTAGGACTTGTGACATGTGATAGGTACGGCACATGGCCACTGTCCCCAGGCAGGATTGAACTACCGACCTTCCACTTACTGATCGGGTGCTCTACCACGGAGCTATGGCTTGCTCGAGTAAGGAGGTGCTAGAACTTGTGCCTTATAATGGATGCGCACACGGTCACTGCCCCCAGGCAGGATTGAACTACCGACCTTCCGCTTACTAAGCGGGTGCTCTACCACTGAGCTATAGGGGCTCCAAAAACGTGTCGCAACCAACAATTTTTTCCGGCCTTTTCTCGTCCCCTGAGACACGAAATCACCGTCACGTCAGCCACATTCCGTGCACGGTATGCGTGGCGAGCTTCCCAGCTTGTGTGTCATCACGACAACCATAGACCCACACGCTGCATCGAATGCCGTCTCTTGTCACCCTACTCTGTTGTGGCCCAGCTATGGTGCTGATGGCTAGAGGACGCTTACAAGCACCAGGCGGCATTCTGATGCATACATGTCCGGTACATCCCACCTGGACTGTAACTAACACAAAATGACGGGACAAACGAAGGCTACTGCTGTACCGCGGATGTGGTAGAGACGTTGAATACTTTGCAGCAAGGTGTATCGATGTCGTATGTATTTGCCAACAAAACGGTGATTGGTATCATTGTGACGTGCAGCCGCGCTGGTTATAAACGGGGTGCTAGCCAATGACTCGATTGAAGTGAAGGATATGACACTTTATGAGATAGACTGATCGTCACCGCCTATGGTACCGATATAGCAGGCGAGCATATCAAAGTATGTAGTATAAAACGGAGGCGTAACCCCTACTACAATGAAAAGATACGAGCAAGTTGAGCCACTCTCTCGAGCAAGGAGATACTAGGACTTGTGACATGTGATAGGTACGGCACATGGCCACTGTCCCCAGGCAGGATTGAACTACCGACCTTCCACTTACTGATCGGGTGCTCTACCACGGAGCTATGGCTTGCTCGAGTAAGGAGGTGCTAGAACTTGTGCCTTATAATGGATGCGCACAGCCCACAGGCAGGATTGAACTACCGACCTTCCGCTTACTAAGCGGGTGCTCTACCACTGAGCTATAGGGCTCCAAAAACGTGTCGCAACCAACAATTTTTCCCGGCCTTTTCTCGTCCCCTGAGACACGAAATCACCGTCACGTCAGCCACATTCCGTGCACGGTATGCGTGGCGAGCTTCCCAGCTTGTGTGTCATCACGACAACCATAGACCCACACGCTGCATCGAATGCCGTCTCTTGTCACCCTACTCTGTTGTGGCCCAGCTATGGTGCTGACGTCTAGAGGACGCTTAGAACTTGTGACATGTGATAGGTACGGCACATGGCCACTGTCCCCAGGCAGAATTGAACTAACGACCTTCCACTTACTGATCGGGTGCTCTACCACGAAGCTATGGCTTGCTCGAGTAAGGAGGTACTAGAACTTGTGCCTATGCGCACACGGTCACTGCCCCCAGGCAGGATTGAACTACCGACCTTCCACTTACTGATCGGGTGGTCTACCACGGAGCTATAGCTTGCTCGAGTAAGGAGGTGCTAGATCTTGTGCCTAATGGATGCGCACACGGTCAATGCCCCCAGGCAGGATTAAACTACCGACCTTCCGCTTACTAAGCGGGTGCTCTACCACTGAGCTATAGGGGCTCCAAAAACGTGTCGCAACCAACAATTTTTTCCGGCTTTTTCTCGTCCCCTGAGACACGAAATCACCGTCACGTCAGCCACATTCCGTGCACGGTATGCGTGGCGAGCTTCCCAGCTTGTGTGTCATCACGACAACCATAGACCCACACGCTGCATCGAATGCCGTCTCTTGTCACCCTACTCTGTTGTGGCCCAGCTATGGTGCTGATGGATAGAGGACGCTTACAAGCACCAGGCGGCATTCTGATGCATACATGTCCGGTACATCCCACCTGGACTGTAACTAACACAAAATGACGGGACAAACGAAGGCTACTGCTGTACCGCGGATGTGGTAGAGACGTTGAATACTTTGCAGCAAGGTGTATCGATGTCGTATCTTTTTGAAGTGCCAACAAAAAGGGGATTAGTATCATTGTGACGTGCAGCCGCGCTGGTTATAAACGGGGTGCTAGCCAATGACTCGATTGAAGTGAAGGATATGACACTTTATGGGATAGACTGATCGTCACCGCCTATGGTACCGATATAGCAGGCGAGCATATCAAAGTATGTTGTATAAAACGGAGGCGTAACCCCTACTACAATGAAAAGATACGAGCAAGTTGAGCCACTCTCTCGAGCAAGGAGATACTAGGACTTGTGACATGTGATAGGTACGGCACATGGCCACTGTCCCCAGGCAGGAATGAACTACCGACCTTCCACTTACTGATCGGGTGCTCTACCACGGAGCTATGGCTTGCTCGAGTAAGGAGGTGCTAGAACTTGTGCCTATGCGCACACGGTCACTGCCCCCAGGCAGGATTGAACTACCGACCTTCCGCTTACTAAGCGGGTGCTCTACCACTGAGCTATAGGGGCTCCAAAAACGTGTCGCAGCCAACAATTGTTTCGGGCCTTTTCTCGTCCCCTGAGACACGAAATGACCGTCACGTCAGCCACATTCCGTGCACGGTATGCGTGGCGAGCTTCCCAGCTTGTGTGTCATCACGATAACCATAGACCCACACGCTGCATCAAATGCCGTCTCTTGTCACCCTACTCTGTTGTGGCCCAGCTATGGTGCTGACGGTTAGAGGACGCTTACAAGCACCAGACGGCATTCTGATGCATACATGTCCGGTACATCCCACCTGGACTGTAACTAACACAAAATGACGGGACAAACGAAGGCTACTGCTGTACCGCGGATGTGGTAGAGACGTTGAATACTTTGCAGCAAGGTGTATCGATGTCGTATGTATTTGCCAACAAAACGGTGATTGGTATCATTGTGACGTGCAGCCGCGCTGGTTATAAACGGGGTGCTAGCCAATGACTCGATTGAAGTGAAGGATATGACACTTTATGAGACAGACCGGCCGTCAAGCGTTCTTCCAACACATCGGACACTTTGTCAGTCTCGACATTTTGTTGATCTCACGACACATCACTACTTTCGATAGCATCAAAAGCCCGGAAGTGACCCCCACTCTTGATGAATGTTAACATAAATGATATTTTCGGTTTTGCAACTTCAAAGAACTACGCAGACGCCAAGCGATCGACTTCTCTAATATAGTGGTGAAGCAATTGTAGCTTCCATCAAACGGCATTGTGAGCACTGCCCACATTTAAGAAATCAAGACGATGTAGGCCCAATTTTTAACGACTTAATTGGCGGAGGATCGTACAATTGGCTTTCGTCATTAGGTTTTACATTGGGCGTGACACGTCCTAACTTGATCTAGTCCGCTTTCTTTGTCACCAAACGACAATACGAAGTTCCGCCAAGGCATCGTCCGCGCCGGAAGTGGATGGATTTATGCTCAACTATAAGAAGGTGGCACTTTTCGACTAATCCTCGACTGTATCGACGCCGCGAACGTCAAGGTCGGCGCCATGTGCAAGAATTTCAAAACCGCCGCCGATCCAGACCACTTCACTTTGAAAGCGGTCGAGTGTCCACTCGCCTTCAACTGTGCACTTGCGCTGATGGTAGTGGACGGTAGGTCGGCAATTGGTGAGGTTGCTTAGCTGCATGCGATCAACTTAGCAATATGTGCGACCAATCCGGCTGAAAATACAAAGTTGAACACGAAATGGAAGAAGCTGATGGGAACTGCTGTCCCATCCAAATGCGGTAAGGTGTTTACGAGGTATTCTAAGTTTTAGACTACCACACCTACCATTTAAGATCAGTTGCTTGCATCCAAAGCCATGAGCATCTTCGAGCTCAGTCTCGTGTCCGTCGCTCCTTTCATCTTTCAAATGTCCAATTAATTTATTACAGCACTGGTCAACCAGTCCAATGGATCCCTGCGCATCATACGCCGCTTCTCCATGTTGGTATAAGGTGATGTGGCTCGTGCATGGAAGTTTGTATGCTTGCGTGAATATGTGTTACGGGTTGTGCTCAGTAAGTACAATTAGATATAAATAAGTAGGTGCGCTTAGGTCCAATAGTGCTGTAGCTATAGTGGTAGACCTTGACAGAGGTGTACCAGAGGTCGTTCGAGACCCAGTGTCATCTGTTAAGTTAAGCCTTCAGGCCTTGGTGTGATGAGGTTCACCAGCACCGTCCTACCAGGCAGTGACGTCCCCCACTTCTATGAATGTTGCACAATTTAATCCTGTGTGGCACACATCGGAGAGAAAGGGAATGCGACAATGACCAGTGATTGGATAATTTATTGGGTAGTCAGCGAGGAAGAGACGCAAAAGAATGGACAGCAAGCGACGACATGAGTGCACAGATGATAAGAGGTAACACACAATGTATAACTCACCTTTGATTTTACTACTTCAGCCCCAAGCATCATCCACTGAGCGCTCACGTCAACCTTCGCATTAAACACTCCACCCCAACACAATCTTCCACCTCTTACGGTCCCAGGTGCGTGCTTAAATCATTACAAATAAAGAGAGGTGCAATGGCGTGTCACCTGCTGAATAATCCCAGAGCTTTTCAAAAACTTAAAAGCTTCTACCCAGATGACTTGTATGTCTTGCAGTTGTATACCGTCGGTGGCGGCGTTGTAATTGTAGCAATTCCACTAATAACTCGTTGCTAAAACTTTCTTGCGTCGACATCTTGAAAAATCATCGGTTTTCTCGCAGTAAACAATAACGGAATCAAGCAGAACATCTATTTTATAAGTGATAAATTGATCTCGAAATAATTGGTCTCACGTCTACAAGAGACTAAGTTCGCGACGCCACCCATCTATCGGCCTTAAAATTTAACCTTGACGTATAGTGACAGCAAAATGTCCTTGTTTATGAACTCAACTACCTTCTGTACTGGCCTACACTTAGGAGGAGCTATGAGGCGTCACAGTGCTCTTCCACGGCTTTCCGGGTCTCGACTCAGCGGTCGAAGTCACCCATCTCACGTTCGAGGGGCGCTATCTTGTCGTGCGTGTGACGGTAGATGGGCTGCCACTTTAACTTCACAACGTGAATGCGCCAGTTGACCGTTAGGTCAAAAGACACATCTTGTCGGGTCTGGTCAAGGAATAAATTGAAGTCCACGCGGTCCATTGTATGTGAGGGATATCAATACTTCTCAGAAATCCCAGCCCGAATCATTGACTCCAGTCGGCGGTATGGCTTGGGTCGGTCCAGCCGGTTTGATCGGATGGCCAAACTTGATGTTTTTATTCTTGGCAGATCCACGCTAACAGCACACGTGTTTCACTGGACCTCCACACCACAAGAACAGTCCGGGTTATATTGTGTTGTCCAAGTAGTCCTCCAACACGTTCTAAGATTGTTGTAAGTACTTTCTTCCACACCGTGCAGACGACCATCTTGCTCACAGTGCGAAGTTTGATCGGGACCTCAACTTCACGTTCGTGGTTACTGGAAGTTTTCCAAATAATCTTCTGGATTACCATCTTTTTTCCCCAATCAAAAGAGAGGCGTAAATCCTTTAGTTTACATTGCTCTCTGCCTTTAAACGGGTAAGACCTGGGAATCTTGGAAGCAAACTATCGGGTCTCAGCTTAAGGCAGTCTAGAGTTAGCTTCACCTTAAAGACGCCTAGAATACTAAAGAGGCTCAAATCCGTCTTGATCGCGCCGGTTTTCGGTCGTGTGATATTTCGTGTAACGAGGACCCTGAACATTTTGATGCTGCCATGCTATACTTCAGTAAAACTGTACTTGAACGAGACAGTATAATAATGAAGCTGTGTCTGATTTCCAAGTGACAACTCCAAAAAATCAACCAAGTACTTCTTCCGCCTACTGGACACCAGCGTGAAACTTCTTTCTATGGAGAAAGTAGTGACTCCCGATATGTCACTCTCGATACACCCCACGTTTGTCTCTCAACGAATCCTGGAGAACTGCGGGTATAAGATAAAAAAAACCAACAGTTGGATGTCCGAGACCCTTCTCCAGAGGCTACATTGAATGAATGCTTCTCAATAAAGTCGCTGAATCTGATATTCCCTGAATGTGATATCTTGGACGCCCGGTGACTGATGCAGACTTTATAGCCACAATCCGCTACATGCGCGCGACTTCATCACCTATAATGGATGAACTGACGGATAATTTCTACCTGACGTCTTCGACGAGTGCCTCAGTATCGTTATTCAAGATCGTCTCCAGTGAGAGATGCTCCCTCCGTCTCAGCAAAATTCGGCAGCGGTGTTAAATTACAAAAACTAATCGCGTGCGTTTTCTGGCAACTACCGATCGAATTTTCTTGTGCAAGTCGATCTGAAGATACAGTCAAAGGAGCTGACATACCATCTTCAGGAGGAAATTTCCAAATAAATCCATCTCTACCAGGAAGGCTTCGTCATGGAAAGATCAATTCATTACCACGTGCCCTTTCTGGCCAATCTTCACTTCTTGGTTTCCGGTAGGGACAAAGAAGCATACACGGTAATTCTAGATTTCAAAAAAAGCCTTCGATTTAGTCCAATGAGACTAAATGTTACGAATGCTCGAGCACATGAGATTCTAGCCTACATTTTACCGGTGGATCCATCTTCTTTGTACGGACCGTCTATGTCATCTGGTGATCATCCAGAACATCCAACCGGCGATCTTTCCGACTCTTATTGTGAAGCGAGGCGAACCTTTGTCCGCCCTTCTTCTCATCTTAGAAATAGAACCCCTTGGCAAATTACTCCGAGAGAGACGAAGAGTATGGAGTGTGCCTAACTGCTGAACACACTACTACCGGCAATTCTTGCGCTGATGAATCCACTATATTGAGCAGCTCCGTTGCGAAATTGCAGGAACAAACTAAAATTGGCGAAATATGTGCCCATCGCGCCTAATCAAAATCATGAATGTCCACTGCTTCCCGGTATGAAAGTTTTCAGTCGGATGGGTGCAGTGCAATACCTTGGCATCCCGTAAGAACTATCTTCGGTCCTTATTGCAATCGCGAAAGCGCATCTATTACGGCCTTAACCGGCGGTATGATTGGGCCCACACACTCCAGGGTATTTTCGTGTAGCAAAGTCACGATTATTTTCTCGCTTATGGCATTTTACCCATCAATTTTCCATATCAAGACCGCAGTGCAGCGATGAAAATTTATGCCGAACATGCTCTTGCTGAGCCATATAAATGACCGCGAGTCCTCCCACGCTCAGCTATTTCAAGCGCGTTTTCTACCAGCTCTGTAGTAGCAGGGGGGGGGTTAGTAGCAGCGAAGTCAAGAACGCTCAATCAGCGTCTTCAACTTCTTTCGCAGTTTTTTTTTAGATGAAGACGCCTGCGAAACAAGATTTATTTTTTGATGGATTAATTATCGAGAGCTTAAATCTCGACAGTAACCCAGGACCCAAAATATTTACTAAGGTAAAATGAGAACCATGGACTAAATATCAAAGTTAAGCCGGTTGAAGGAACCAAATGATTTACCCAGGTGAACATATCACAGGCACCAAATGACTAGCTAGTTCATCTGGAATCAGGTTTTTACAGGTATGTAGCGTAACCTAGCAACAATAATTCAACTTGATGCAAATGGATGGTATTCATTACAGACCTAATAAGTTGAGTACTGGTATTGGTTTATTGCGCCCCGGTCTGAGCTTACGGTCACTCATGTGGGTCAATGAATTATAGATAGGAATGCGCGAATGGTCTTGCAGACTTTGCATATACTGAAACGCGACGTTTGATCTGGCACATCAGTCAATGAATGCATATCGCATATCTGGATTCGGTCGATTTTTGATATTTTGTTTTTGGAGTACCAGATCGGTCATATTCTCCACTGATAATGAATGCATCGTTGGTAGACTATTCTGATTATGAAGGATGTAATCCAAGGATGGTTCTTAATAATATTCTAAGCGTCCCGATCAAGGAAGTCAGCCGAAGGTGTCCAAGTTGACGACATAAATTTGATTGATCACAAAGTTGGGTATCAGGTAAGATATTAGGTATTTGATACAATATTGGGTATTTGGTATCACATTTGATATTTGATACTGTATTTGGAACATGGTCGTGATATCGGGGATATTGGATTTATCATTGTAGTACAAGCTACACAATTGGGACGCGTGTTTCAAGAGATCAACCCGGCTGAAGTGGATATCCATTTGAAGCGAATTTGGCAGGGTATGCTAGGCATAGTGACGGCTTCAATATTAATTCGGCTGGTAATAGCGGACTTCAATTCGACTCCTTCGGCACACGACATGCGTTATTCTTCTCCGAGCAAGATATTCTCGGCCCCGACGACTGAAGACACACGTGTCCCCATGACACAGACGCCCGATTTAGATCAGTCGGACAAGGTCGCGAAGTCCTATCCTGAATCTTTACACGGATCAAGCAAGCTCTCAGAACAAGACAACTTATGCCGGACGCATCAAACAAAGAAAAGGACTCGGTGGTCAAGACCGACAAAGAGATCTGGTGCATACTGATCTGGCGCACACCGGTCTGACGATCTCAACTCTATTTAGTTAGGATCAACAGTGCAAGTAAACAAGAGCTAAAAATCAAGTGGGATGAAGCATTTGCAATACGACCAAGAGAGCTTTAAGTCATCTCGGAGAT